CCTCCATCCTCAGCAGAGCGGCGGGGAAGCAGCTGGCCGCCCGAACGCCGATGACGAATATGCTGCTTTTAAGGAAGCCATTGAAGAAATAGGGGGAGAGGATGGCCCACTAAGGACTCAGGAGGACAGAGACGGGATGGGTGATGAAGAAGAAGAACAGGAGGAGGAGGAGGAAGAAGAAGAAGAAGAAATAGCCAGCGGGATGAAAGTGAAAGCTCCTTACTACAGTTCCTGGGGAACCCTGGAGTATCACAATGCTATGATCGTAGGTAGTGAGTGCTTGGAAGATGGAGGGCAGGGAGTTAGGGTGCTCTACCTCTACCCAACTCACAAGTCCCTGAAGCCTTGTCCCTTTTTCCTGGATGACAAATGTCGATTTAAGGAGAATTGTCGGTAAGTAGATCGACTGGTAGGGGAGGGCCGGGGTACCCTGGTACGCACCTCTTTCATTATGCGGAAAGAACCTATGTCGCGTCAAGGCCCGCGGCCTGTTTTCAGCCTCCCTGGCCTCCAGCCTCCTTGTGGCCAGCAAAGTGCTGCAGGAGGCTGGGTAGGCCGAAAACGGGCTGTGCGGGGGCCACGCACCCCAGTGCAGCTTGTTTTCGGCCAGCAGAGTGCTGCAGGAGGACTGGATTGGACTGGATTTCAATTATGAGGCCTCAAATAAGTGCCTTATCTGGATAGAAAACAAGCCACCTCCTATGTTAATACTACAGTTTAATGCCGGATTTTACACACTGTAGGACCATTTAATCTACAATCACCCACCTATAATTGATAGCCGTTTCTATTTGCCTTCCTGGAAATTGACCTCTGCTGTTAGAGCTTGCATTATCGCGTTATATATGCTGTTGTAATTTTATTCTTAGTTGAACAAAAAGAATACAATAGTATAAGTGGCTGTTCTGCCTGGAAAAGCAGTTTACTATAAATTTAGAAATAAAAGAGCCGAGGTGGCGCAGTGGTTAGGGTGCAGTACTGCAGGCCACTTCAGCTGACTGCAGTTCTGCA